TGGATAGTACGTTTTCAAGGCCATGCATATTTATGTTATCATTTTCATGGAGTGTGTGGTTGAGAATTTTAAATGTGAATCCCATTATAGATGTACCGTACTATGGTGTCCGAATAAATATACCACTTTGAGGCTCCTGAGGGGCACTAAGGGTAGCCAAGGATAGGGTATTTGGAGTTCGACACTTGTATACAGGCGGTACTGTTTCAAATGGAAGTTCAACAGCAAGCACAGCTGCCTGGCTTGAGTTCATTCAACAATTCCTCCACCAAGCTGAAGACTCCGGTATATCTTTTAGTTCAATTTTTGTCATAATCATTATTCTTTTTCACAGAAAAAATATAGAGTAATGATCTTGTGTATAACCAAAAAACATTCTTTTCCACCTAGTATTTTCCGCTCAAAGAGCTGTAGACTGTTCTGACAATCACAACTCACAGGAAGTCACATTTGAAAACGAATTTGAGAGAAGGATCTGGGCAGACATAATTCCTCAGAATGAAATTGGTGTCAAGTTCGATGACATTGGAGCTCTTGATAACGTCAAGGATGCACTGAAGGAGTTGGTAATGCTTCCCTTACAGAGACCTGAATTATTCTGTAAAGGGCAACTCAGGAACGTAGCTTTATTTCCACCAATCTGTGATACCCTTGCATATTTATGCATTTAACATGGTTGGCGAGATATTCTTGTTTGATAACTTCTGCTAGCTAGAAATATACGACAAAGAAGGTTATTTAACCCTTTCTAAGTCCAGCCTTGCAGGGGAATACTTCTTTTTGGTCCTCCCGGTACGGGAAAAACTATGCTCGCCAAAGCTGTAGCGACTGAAGCTGGTGCAAATTTTCTGAACATCTCAATATCTAGTATTGCATCAAAGGTCAGCAATGTATTGAAATTACTAAATGATTAAGCATAAAATTACTAAAGCACATGACCTTTAGAGCATTTTCATTACAGTGGTATGGTGATTCTGAACAATATGTGAAGGCAATCTTCTCGATAGCCAGCAAAATTGCTCCGTGTTGTATTTATTGATGAGGTAAGTTTTGTGGTATGAACAGTTTTTTTAAACTTGGTTTAGCATGTTTTGGGAAATTCTTATTCCTCGTCAAAATCATAAAGGTTGATAGCGCTTTGGGTCGAAGAAATGATCAAGACTCTGGAATCACTCGTAGGATAAAAACTGAATTTATGGTAAATTGGGATGGCTTGCGCACAAAGGATGAGGAAAGGATACTAGTTCTTGCAGCCACAAACAGGCCTTTTGACCTCGATGAAGCTGTTATCAGAAGACTTCCACACCGGTAGAATCCTGTTCTCTGTTAAACTTATTTGTTCACTTGTGTAGTTTGAAGTCTCTGACTATATTTTTGGTCTGTTCTGTAGATTCATGGTAAATTTGCCGGATCTTGCAAACAGAACTAAGATCTTAAAAATTATATTGGCCGAGGAAGACATGTCTCCAGATGTTGATATCGATGCAATTGCTAGTATGACCGATGGCTTCTCTGGTAGTGATCTCAAGGTTTGTGCTTTCATTATCCCCAATCTTCTTATAATAATTAAAGCGTATGATGCACAAATATGGACACGTTGACACACAATTTTTCAAAAAAGTACTGACACGACTCTCGTCAATACGTAATTAAATTCTTTACATTTTTTTATTTATATAGTATAAATTTAGTTTACGTTTGTTATTAATTTTCTTGTTGAAATCTTTTGAATATAAGTAATTATTTATTATTCAATAATAATTTTGAGTTAAAAGTATATAACATTTCTGGCGAAGAAAGAAAAATGATCATAGAAGAGTGTTGGTATCCGACACTTGTAGGTCATGGACATGGACACACCACCCTAACTGAAGTATCCATGCAACACAAATTAAAGCAACAACTTGTTCTCAGGCTCTTCTCTGTTTATTATGCTTTGCAGAACCTGTGCATCGCTGCTGCATATTGTCCCCTGCGAGAGTTTTTAAGGAAGGAAAAGGAAAAGGACAAGGTCAGTTTCCGGCATATTCTTTATAAGCAAAGTTTTTTCGATATCGTAAAGTAACTGGATTGATCACAAATGAATTAAATGAAGGGTAAACAAGCCAAGTTTAGATCATTTGTGGCGAAATTCGTTTCATAAGTTGGTAGATGGATGGTGGGTAATCAGTTCATAAGTTAAATTTAACCTTGAGTCTTGTACAAGGGTGGTTGCTTAATAAATAGATTATGCTATACCATGTGAATTTCTTCATATGAATCCAAATATTTATTTGATTGTGCTTAAATTTGTTTCATTTTTTTACTTAAATCTACCACTCCAGGATCTGTTTTCTTTTTTCTTCCCTTGCCAAGCAGACATTTTCTTAGGTTTTGGCTGCTGATATTTGGATTATAGGACAAATAATTATTTGTTTAGGACTACATTTTAATATACAGAAACATGAATCATATATTACAGGTTCATGATTTAGATGTTGGTTTTCTGCTGAAATCTCTTGAAGTAACTGAAGCAAAGTCTTCGCCTGCCAATAGAGGGATTGCTGAACTACGGCCTTTAAATATGAAGGACTTCATTTATGCTCGTGAACAGGTTTGGAAACAAATAAAAAAAATAACTGGAGAGAACAACCCTCTTGTCAATTTTGCGATATAATATTATGAGAACACGATAGAGTTTCTGTTATTAATGCAGGTTAGAGCAAGCACACCAGCCGACTCACGGATCATGACAGAGCTTCTGCAATGGAATGAGCGGTATGGAGAAGGTGGTTCCCAAAAGAAGACATAATCTAGCTTAATACGTTTGACGATGCTATCATTTTCTTTGTTATTTTACAAATATTTATTTAAAAAACTGGTAACGTGTTCGAGTTGGGTATACACGAAGTCCCAAAAGAGAAGTTATGGTTATGGGGACGTGCATAAACTCCAACATTGCCTTCATATGCTGCAATTTTGATAAATTTATCAAGGGTACAGTAGTCAATATTTGGTGAAACTTGTTAAAAAATAAGTTGTATGTGTGCATAAACTCTTAACATTACTTTACTATTTTAGAGTAACTTGTTTTACTTTTAAGTAAAAAAAAAAAAAGTAACTTGTAATTTTGAAATCACTACATCTACCCGACAAGCCATAAGTCATATTCCCAATTGCATCCAAATAAACATTAGGAGACTGATCTTCATCCGCCAATATCACTTTTAAGATCTGAATTCTGTTTGTTTCGAGATAAGCTGCTGAGCGGTGATTGTTTCCTTTCTTACCTTTATCAAGCAAATTCTATATTGATGGTTGGTTGTGGTTTCCCGTGTACTCCATATCTTTCTAATAAATTCTGCAAAATTCTCCTCCATAAAGGGTGCTGAAGTCCGTCCTCTAAACATGGAGGACTTCAAATGTGCTCGTGAACAGGATCGGAACGGAGTAAAAAAGAATACAATGTTGGGAATTTACTTAACATGCACAGCGGAAATAAAACAATTTTCAATTCCCAAACGAGGATCTGCAATGTGTTTAGATAGAAACTGTGATGAGAATGATACCTTTGATGAATTCCACAAACTCTTTTGCTTTTTCTTGAACTCCAATGATCACGATCTGC